TTATCGAATTAAAAAGAGAATTTTTTGCACCAAAGAATAATTGATCAAACTCTTAGTGCTTCTTTAAATGACAAAATACAACGATCGATATGAATAATTGTTTCATGTTAAAATAACATTAAAAAAGAGAATGTAATTACTTATTAAGACTTGAGTTTAGCATTTGAAACTATTATTTTTATTATTTATAGATAAGAGTTTTTAATATATGAAAGACTTTTTTCAAATAATATCTTTCATTTGAATTTATATTTAGCTCATTAAAATAGCATATAGTACAGATAATCATTTTCTTGATTCTTATGGATATATGATCTTCGAAAAGTAGCAAATATGGAAGCCATGACTTTCGAAATCTAACAAGAATTATGAGATTCAGTTTATACGACAAAAATATTCTTTAATCATTTCTTTTTCCGAGAAATTCTGAGATTAGACCGATAATTCAGTAATATGAATATTATCTATGAGTAAAATATTCACTTCAACAGAAAATATCAGATGAGGAAAATTCTCTCGTTAGATAGAACTTTATAGTTGATATGTATGTCTAGAAGTTTAAACATGAAGTATTTCACATCTTTATTAACGAAAAAAAAAGCAAAACTACATGTTATTCGACTCTTCATGTATAGTTCTACAAAATATTTATAATCTAATTGGTAAATATTTATAAATTGTATCTTGTAAATATTTTCGTAATTCGCTATTATATATATATAAACTAATAATATTAATTAATAAACATAATTGTGCCCAAAGAGTAAAAAATGAAGTTAAAAGAGATTCAAAAGAAAGATTGGGAATAATAATTAAATAGATATATATAGGACTCCATCCTCCAATAAATATGCAAAACATAAAAACTATGTATTGAATTAGATGAGAATCACGACGATTAAATCTTTGTAGTGGATGATTATTCACACTATTTTCTACTTGATTAATAATAGATGGTTGAACACGACGTGAAGAAGAAGAAACATATAAGAATATACGAATATATATAATAAAACTAATTATTGTTGGATTAATCACAATCATTGTAAGCATATAGATTCTCAGCCATAATGGTGTAATACAAGGCTAATAACAAAAATTATATTAAGAAAATATTGATTAATAATTAAACATTATACATTATAACCTTATCTTATTCGATAGCTGTTATATTTAAAGATTATTAGTATTCTGTTCAGTTGGGATTTGTAGCACATCTATTTTTATGAAATTCGTAGACAAAGAACTAGTGGGAGATGGTCGTTTAACTATTGCTAATTCTTTGCTAATGTGAATCTTTTCTTAAATACAAAACTTTATATTTCTTCAAATTGACTATGCTTCTTCATTTCTACAGTTGAATGGGACACAATTTAGCTGTCGACTAAAATTTTAGTATTATCTATATAGATAATTTTACTATTTTAAGATAAACGAACGCGTAACACACAATATGTCAATATAATCACTTTTATCAATGAGAAATAATATATATCTAATTTATTCTATATTAAATATTGATTGAAATTTTAATCATGATTATTATTCATCAATAGCAAAATAGAGTTTTATAAGTCATTGTATTGAGAACGTTTGAAAAAAATGCTTTAATTCTCGGTAAAGTTGTCGAAATTTATAGTAGTTATTTTAATTGAACAAATTTTTAATGACAACATGAAGAAAATATCTATAAGGACAAAAACGTACCCTCAAGAAACGACTTTTAATGCATATTATATTGTCTCCTAATCAATTTTGACATCATCTGTTCTAATTTTAGCTTCAATTATCGTAGCTATGCGTAGTCTATTAATAAACAAATTTGATTAGTCAACAACATTACAACTGGTTCACATTGATGTATTTTTTCTATCCAAAATATCCCATACTCGTCTATTTATAGATTATTGAAATGATCACTGAATATGAGACGATAGAATAATGAATGATTTTCTTATAAGTATAAAAAGTTATTTCATTTGTTAAAAAAAAATTCTAACTATGAATTTCTCTAGATATAAATCAATACAAGTAACGCTCGTCCGAGGACTCGCTTAGCTCTTTCTCGTAAAAATGCATCTTCTTCACATTTATTAAAAAACAATTGAAAACTATAAAAAAATAGGTTTTCAATGGTTTTTTAACCTCTGCTCCCCCTAACCTCTCCCCTACCATGGTTACCCAATAGACCTCAGATTCGAACTCCCCGCATCGAAAAATCGATTTTCGGTGTCTTTTTAACCCTGCGGATAGACAAACAAGCAAACAATTAATTTTTACTGGACTCCTCTCTACCAGAAAGAGAATAAAGTATTTTTTACTGTTGTATCAAATGGAAGTAATAGTACTGGTAATGTCAGAATAATTCCACTAATCCATTGAATTGTAATACATAATATAATCCATTGTTTTCTTTGAAAAAAAGCCTTTGTATGATAAATAACTGAACAGTAACGATTGATTGATACAGCAAGATAAGCAAGTGATATTTGCAAGGTACACATTGTTTGGAAATAAACTAAAATTGAACATATTGGTTCTGCTAATAAATATTTCGGATGAAATTTTAGTAATACATAGAAAATAAGCCAATATATATTAGAACATATTTTTGCTAAACATAGATTAATGTTAAATATATTATTCGTATTCTGAAATCGACGATTTAATAAAATTGAAATCGAATAAATTGAAGATGATAAAAGAGTAAAGCCTGTAAGAATCATTTGAGAATAATGAACAATAACTAATAATTTATCCATATTAGAGAAAATGAAAATAAGATTTTATATTAAAACAAAGTTTTCTGTGTTTGTGATATTGAAAATCAGATAATTAGAAAATAAATACACCAAATTCTTTAATATAGGTCAGTACGAATGCACTTTGGATAAGCAGTGGAAAACAGACGAAGTGACATGTTGTATTTTATTATTCTTCTTCTTATTATGGCAAAACTAATTAATAGAACAAAAAGTCCGATTTTACTAATTATGAACTATTTATGAAGTAAATCTCTCTACATCAAAGTTGTTTTATAAAATAGACATTAATGTTAAAATAATCGATTAGTTCTTCCATTTTCTAAAAATTTTTTTTATTGTTTTGAGTATAATGGAAGTATTCTGAAGAATCTATACTGTTCATTAATCAATATAGACATAATATCGATTATGGTTAAAGTTCTAATTAGAATCTGAATGAATATATGAAATATTAATTATTATGACTATAATACGCTTGATTAAATAAGTGACGGAACGTCTCGATTTTGAGAAGTAATGAGGCTTAGCTTTATTTAGATCAAAGCTTAAAACTTATTTATAACTCAAATTTGGCCTCTATGTCTTGATTAAATCAGCTTTGATTTACTTTAGACGTCTACAATTTCAATTTATTCGGTCATATTATATGACGAAAATAACTCAACAACTACGGTCGCAGTGACAATCATTACATACATTATTTTATTTGTCTATATAGTTTAATAAGTAAACTAAAGTAGTTATAAATATATGTGTTCGAAAATGATTGAATTAAATCCAAACCGGATATCTGTGTTTTCTTCTGTGATAGTATTAGTCATTTTATTTGATTAACTGAAAATATAACATCCATAATCAGTACTTTAACAAATATATCCACTGATTATTATCGTTTGTCGTGATTATATCTTTTACCTAAATAAAGGTGTGTGTGTATGTCTAAAACATTTAACCAAATGAATTTAGTTCATCTCTAACTAACAAAAGTGAAACTTAATTTTTATATTACGCGTTTTTTTATTCAGGAAAAACTATATTCTAAACTTTTTTGTTTTTACAAATAAATCTAATCGTACTATATTATAAAACATAATATGTTTTAAACGAATATAAATGAAATCAAGATTAATAACAAAGCTCATAACGCATTTAATTTTAAGAGAATTTTATTTATATGAATTGGATGTCGGCATAGTATGTTTCACTTTCAATGCAATTCAAACATTAATTCTAAGTACGTATAACTAATTTTGAACGATAATATAATTAGTATTAACGTTCAGTTCTGTTAGAGGAAAGTTCGACGAGGCTTAAGATAGACTAGTATTCAACATTATAATTTTCATGATTAATTTCATGACAAACTTGCACTATTGGTATATATATATATACAAGATCCGGAACATGACAATTTCTATTTTTTACTGCAAAGGTCAACAGTTCTTGATATAAATGAGAGATAATATATCAAAATATTATAATTACATACTCTTGTTTTTTCATTAGTTACTGCAAATAACGGTATCTAGCTACTATTAATAGTTTTAACAAAAACACAAAGAACTAGTACCGGTGTAGTCTACAGAGTAAAAATAAATGTTTGTACTAATATTTAAATGAGGATCAGACATTGTTATAAATAGCACTCAATTTAAATATGAAATATTCACAATAAATTCATGAAGAATATCATATAACCGCATTATATTACCAGAAAAGCCTTTATTATTATCCCGATGAACAATACTGTTTTACAATATCATATCTAATTATAATTAATAGTATTAAGTCTCTCAAAAGTACCCGGGCAGATAAGACCTATAAAAAACGGTGTTTTATTATTCTTTTTTTATCGCTTCTCTGCCTGGACTAAAAAACGCCGTTTTTACGCGTATCAAAACTCATATTTTAACGCGTAAATACGCATTTTTTGGTAAAAAACAGACAATAAAACGCGTTTTTAAATTGTGAAAGTAGGCGCCTTTCAATCGCAAAAAACGCACAGTTTAACGACGTAAAAAACCGGTTTTTACGGATTTTGTCTAATAGGGTAGTAGAAATAATTTTATAGTTGAACATGTATAAAGAAAACATAGTTTATTTATTTTTTAAATATATTTGTGTGTCTTGTATTACACATTTAATAAGCACGTCAATTCAAGAACTGTACAAACAAATAAATAATTTATTTAGTAATTAAATACAACATATAAACATGAGGAAAGAATTAGAAATTCACAAACTTGTCAAACTTTCATAAATGTTTTCTTTGATTATTGATGGATTATCTATTATATTTGTTGGTAATACTTTTGGTGATGAATAACAATTATTCGCTGAATGTTTCGGTTGTTGATTAAGACCAATACTTCCAGTAACTGATGATGATGAAAATGATACATCAGTTGCTTGTGTTCGTTTAGAAATTAATGAATTAAAAAATTTTTTTTTCGATTTTATTTTACGTTTTTCTAATGTAAATCTTGATGATGCTGTACGATTAAATGAGATAGTTCTACCATTTGAAGAATTTGCTGAACTTAATGATCGTACTTTATCAAGTAAAAATGATCCTATGGATTGTGAACTTTTTCTTGGTTCGATTTTATTTGCCTTCTTTATTGAATCTGAATCAGTTCCACTGAGGGAATTATCACCACCTTGAAAATCCTCACTTGCTCTACATACACTATAGAAATCATCAGCAGACGTACTATGATTTTGTCCATTCATACGAATATATGGGTTTATTGTTGCTGTTTCTATTGAATTATTCATTTTTTTGTTTTGATAAGTAATCAAAGGTGAAGATAAACGTTCTGCACGACGACAACTTCCTGGTCTTGATGATTGTATACCAAAAGTATTATTATTATTATTGTTTGTAACTGTTGATGGATTATTTGATAATTGTCGGTCAAGTGGTTGATGTGATAAAGGTGATGAACTTTGTTTTACATTCCATAGTGTTCCATGTCCACCTTTAAATATCATTTTAAGAATACGAATAAGTCTTCGTCGATATAATTTTCCTGATAAGGAATATAACAAACAATTTGTTGCTGATTTCAATAAATCGACTAATAGAAATAATAATAAATAATCTTTAATTTTTGAACAATTTTCCACACTATGAACATATAATACTCGACAGTGATACATTGTTAAAAGTATTGGTACACCCCATGATATCATAATATTTAAGAAACTTTCAATTAATATAACAAGAAATGCACGTAAATCATTTTGTAAACGACGTTTACGACGACTTTTTCTTGTTGTTTGTTTTAAATATTTTAAACTTTTGGAAAAATAAATAACTTTTATTGATAAAAGATTTGCTAACACAACAATAAATGATGGTAAAGCATTACCAAAAAATATTGCGATTATATGACGATTAATTTTGAATGATACTGAATTAAAAAAATCAAATGTTCTTAACCATGTCAAATAAGTTATTTTGATCTGACAAAAACGTGGTTCAGAAAATAATCTTGTTATAAACTCAGATGCTGTATCTTTTTGCATCTGATTTATAAAAAGCGTATGACTTGATGAATTCAAGTTTGTAAAAGTTATATTTGATAATGTATCGATTGTTGTGTCAGTGATTTGACCGCGATCTGTTAATAAGTATTTAGTATATGATCGAAATTGATTTATAGTTTTATTAGACGAACAATCAAACTAAAAGAAAAGAAAAATATAATTTTTATACTCAATAAATTATTCACTATGAAAAACTATTCAACTAATTGATCATTTTATTCAAAATATATATTATGTGTCACATTTTAACATGCAATGTACAGTAAATATTATCCGTTACAAAGCAATCTATCATTGGTATTTTCTTTCAATGCACAACAACATTAGAGAGAGATATTTTTATTCATAAATTTATATTTAGTTCTTTAGAGATTCTACTAGTTTTTAATATGATCAAATTTGAGTATAGTTTACAGAAAAAAAAGGTAACTACGAAATAGACAATTATGAAATCTTGTTTAGTTCAGTGAACTATTCCATTATCATGAATACTAACAAACATAAGTCAATTATGTGTAATAATCAGTATGTTTCATTCTAGACAATTAATAATAGTACTGAAATGTAGAATATGGTATATAATAATAATATTCAAAAGCGTACTTATTTTTGTATGACATCCGAAAAATGTCCTATATGAACTGGATGACTTTGAAAGAGAATATGTTATTAACTATCAATTTTGATAAATTGAATTAAATACTGACGCTTTAGTAGCTATCTTATACAATTTCCTCTAGCTGTTCTTCAAGGACAACGTATTTATTAGAGAATACCCTGGATGAAAATTAAATTTTGATATGCTGCCATTGCCTTATACGATACTTTATTCTCAATGACCTTTTGAATATATAATATTGCATAGTAATTATTACAATATATTAGAAAAAAATATGCTTGTTGAGAATTCATAAATGTTCGTACTGAGTTACACTGTAGTAGAGAGTTTACATCAACAAGACTAGAGGATAAGTACAGATCATATTATTTTATAGCTTTTTACTTATTGTTTCCCTTTTATCACAATTTAAATTGCGCTTTTCGTTATATTAGAGTTCAAATAAATGCATCTGTCTAAAGATATAAATCAATAAAATATCTTTTTTTTATTATGCAAAGTACTTTCAGGGGAAAAAAACAAAAGTAGTCTTCTTCTCAACAACAGGAATGAGCTTTAAATTAATTTATATATATATAAGAAAACGATTCGAACTATTTGGAATGCATTACCTACTCAGATGTTCTTTTTTATATGTCGTTATACTTTATTTTTAAAACTAATAAAATTCTATTATGAGAATACATAATAAAGCTTTTAATAAGATTAATTGGCAAATTCTAGTCTGCTTTAAAGATATCATGATTATATTTTATAAATATACTTTTTAATCGGACATTTATGACGACCTTATTTGAAAATCTTCTTGTTCTTTTCTCTCAATTTTTAATTTTGTATAGTATATTTTCGAAATAATAATTCTTGCTTTCAGTTCTGATAAAATTATTCATCTTGAATAATGATTTATATATTTCCTTTTTCCAATCAATGCACAATTTAACACAATAATTATGGTATTTTACGCTAAAAATTATATTTTCGAGGTCTGCTGCCGGTAATGAATCGTAGTTAAAAACAAACTCAATGTAATCTATACTACAAAAAAAATTATTGTCTTTAAATTTAGAAAATTATAGCTCTTTACTATAGACTAATTTATGTTGATGATTGTTTACATATAATTTCTACTTAATAAAATAGGTCAAGATCATCTTTTTTATTTTAGAAAAACTTAAATATTTATCTTCCAAAAAAATATCAGACATGTATGAATTATATTTTTATGTGTAATATATCTATATATTCTGTTTAGTTTTATAAATATCAAAAGAGAAAAACAAGCTCTTCTACTATTTCAATATTTTTAATAATTTATGAATATGAAATATCCATTATTTCTAGAAAATTCTTGATTACGTCTGTTTACTTAATGATTGCGTTGCTATGATTAATAAGATTGCTGCAAGAATCTAGTCTAGTAATTACCTTAACCTAGATCATTTTTATTTATGCTAGTCGTATAAGTCGTCTTCTTTTTATGCACTCATGTTTTTTTTATCTTTATATCGCTAATAGACTTATTTTCATAAATATTAAAAGAAGTACGCATATTATCCTTCTAGAAAATAAAATTTCGACGACATTTCTTAGTTTAGTATGATTATGCAAATAAGAAATATGTTTTTAGGATAATAGAAAAAAAATATTTGTCCATTGGTTAGTATTGAAGATGTATATTCTCTACTTTATTTAGATGAAAAATCAGTATTTGTAGTTCTTCGATTCATTAAATATTTGTACTTTGAAGTACTACTTTTGTTAAAGATAGATGAGAAAATAAGAGCTACGTTTGACATTGATTTTAATGTAGATCAAATAGAATATTATTCATTCGAAATGTTTCTCGAGGTGTACTGTAAAAAATATTTACCTGATTTGTCATATCTGAAGAAATTGTTACATTGAATGGTTCAATCATACATGAATAATTACTAATTGTTAAATTATAATCTTGATATAGATATGTTGAATAAACTTGTTTTAATGAATTTTTCTGAATAATATCATGAAATATATCGGAATGAATACTTAAACTACTATCATTTTCATACTGTATACCAGTCCATTCTATACATGTTATGATTGCAGCAATAATAATACTAAATATACATGCAAAAAGAGCACATATACGTGATTCACGATAAGATAATGAAAAAAATGTTCTTGTTCGTTGTACACTTAATATAGCAAGAAGAATAATTGATGCACGTGTCCATAAAAGTTTATATAGCATCCAGTCGAGACAATATGTTCCCATAAATGTGTAAAGATTTTCATATAATCTATGAAAAATGTTATTAAATGCACATAACGATGAAGATTCACTAATCATAGATGTTGCTCGATCAGTCATTTCAACATAACCAATAAATAATGTCATTGAATCACTTATTAATAAACTTATAAAATAAATAGCTATCGGCTTTTTAATAAAAATATTTGAACAAAAAACAATTATACAAAGTATATTAGACATCAGACTAAATACATGTATTAATGGTACTAGTAAACACCAAGTAATTGCTCCAGTTGAAAACATGTCTGTATGTTTTGTATTGTTAAGCATATCACTAGCCATTGATAATATGTGAATCTTCAAAGTTATTCTTACTTTTTCTTTTGTGATTCTACCATTACATGTTATATTATCTGAAAAAGAGTGAAAAAATATCATATTTGATAATGACTATGAAAGAAAAAGCAGAAGGATATATTGACACTAATCTGCATCCTCATTAAAAGAATCATTTTAAATAAGCTATTAATGAAACAATGACGTACTTGAATAGATGTCAAGAAGAAAATGATAACAAATATTAATAAGAAGGAAAGAATAGAGAAAAATTTTTGTAAGAAAATAAAAAGATTTTTCTTTCTTTTTTTTCTTAACATAAAGGAAAACTGTTGGATTCAATCATAAATGTATCACTCTTGTCAATCTCATTCTGAATAGAATAAAAGATACATCATTGTATTTTCCGTGATGTCAGGAAGTAACTAGTCAACCTAATACACTTACTATAAATATCTGTTAGTTTTTGAATACTAACTATGATACCTGTAGCTTTTTTCCTACTATAAATTCAATATAAATACTAATTAGATAGATCAATCTAGATTTTAACCTTTTATACAATAACATACTAATGATATTTAAAATTTTGTTTTCTATTAAATTTTGTCGGATGACCGAGATTTTATAACATATCTCGGTCATCCGACAAAAATATAATAGGAAAAGGAATTCTAAGTAACATCAGTATGTTATTGTGTAAAACATTAAAGTCTACATTGATCTATGTAATTAGTATTTATATTGGACTTACAGTAGAAAAAAGCCACAGATATTTAGTTAGTATTCAAAAACTAACAGATATTTGTAGCAAGAATATTAGGTTGATTAGGTTCTTCTTCACATTAAGCAAAATACAAAAGAAGTATATGTGGAAAGATAGGAAATTGTATCATATATCTTTATACTCTATTTAGAATGAGACTGGTTCTTCAATAATGTTCTTTATTCAAAAATACATTTACGACCATTTTCTATTTACATAAGAAAAAGAAACTATTGACTAAAATATTATATTTATCTTTATTTCAAGTTAGATATTAACTTAGAAAAAAGATCACTGAATAATCTTGTGAAATAAAACAGTAGTGAGTTTTTCTAGAATATATAATAATTAAGTCATAGAATTTGTTTACCTGTAAGTTAATTTTGAATAAAAACAGGATTAATGTTGGTAATAATAGTGAATATTAATCAAATAACTTCTGTCAATCTTTAAATATAGTTTGCTGATGTATATTCAAGAGAAACGAGTGAGGCAGAAGAAAAAGACAGGAGAGACAAAAACAAAGCTCCGCCTTCTCAATGATGATAGAGTTAAAGCTTGGATAGAAAATTTTGAATATGTGCATGTTTGGAGGCGTGTCTATACATTCATATGTTTTCCGTTTTTTTCACTCGTTAGCAATTAGAAGTAAGAAAAGGGTGCTGATAATTATACAAAAATGAGCTCAAATGGAATAGTATGTGCCATTTCTTTTTTTCTCTTTCTTATTTTCAAGCGATTCTCTCGTCATTTATAGAATATTACACCATATCTCAGATGACAAACAAGATATTTACTTATATTATCATACATGTTCAATGATGAACGTCTACAAGAAGTAACTAAGAGTATATTCTATAGTTCTTTTTTTATATATGTCTATCTATCTAATAGACTAGGACATCACATCATCCAGTAAACAAAGTCAGATATGTGAGATCAGATAACCAAATTAATAATTCATATATAAAAGAAAATGCAGAAAAATATGAGCTATGAGGCAATTTAGTTCATAGAGAAATTGTCAAGGATGAAAAGAATATTAGTAAACCTTATCAATGAATGAAAAAACAAGGAATCGATTATATACAGTTGGGTAATCTGCTATTAGTATTATTATTGTATTCATTTAATAAATGTAAATGTACGTAACAATAATAGAACATAACCATATGACGCTACTAGTTACTTAGATTTCATGTTCATAGAAAATTACTTGAGAACAATAGCATATATTCGATTTCCTGTCAATAATAAAGATGTTCCTGTTTCTTCTATAAAATATGATTACAAGACATATGAGTATATAGGATTAATACTGTTTAATCTTCTGTATGCATTATAGGTCAAATTTATCGGTGACGTATATTTCTAGGTAATAAAACACACGAGTAGAAGCTATATCACAAGACTAGATGGCTAAAAATAGGTAAGATAAATAGAAAATGATAAACTACGACCTAAATCATCTTATGTTCGGATAAAAAATAATTGATTTAATAAAAATAGAAAAAAAACCTTCGCAATTTCCTTTCTTTCTAGTTTTTCATAAAAACAACTAAATGAAATCAGATGATATTTGCGCACATTTTTACATAGATAAAAAGAGTTTGTATTAACTAAAATATTATCGCTCATCACCGATTTTTATTAGGAGGAAACAACATTTCGAAAAAAAATATAGTCTAACTATTATCATACAATATATAGATTTATAACGACAGATTACGTTTCCTGATATTGCATGAAATGATTAAAAACATACTTTTCTTCTATTATTGAACAACTATGATTTGGAACAGTTTAGTAAGAGGATATATTCTAATAATGAAAAACATATATGCATCTCATATATATATATTTTTTTTTCTCTTTCACTATTCCAATGAGTACAACTATAAATATTTTTTATTTGATATAGTTTATTATTCGTAAAAGGTCTTCTATATCATATTTAAAAGAGGGAAACTAATGGATTTTATTATACATTATAGATTTAAATAATATAAATAATTCATTTGATAACTCCTACTAAAAGAGTCAAGAGACACCGTTTTTATAAACTTTGTTGATATTCATAGTCATGACTGATTGTTTCCTTAGTCAATATTGATGCGTCTGAGATTATTTGTTTACTAAATACAAATCCCTCATGTTTATGATTACATTAACATTAAATGAGAAATAGTTATTACTATAACGCAATATACATAAAACTGTATAGACTACTAAAAAAATATTATGTTACTATAAAAAAATTTTACTTAATGATTAAATAAATAGAAATCTAAAGCATTCTCATAAATTAATTATTTCTATTGAAGTGTTTGTATTTTTTATCTAATTTAAAAGTACTTGTTAGTCTTTTGAGGATTTGGTTAACTAGCAATCTGACTATAGTAACTCGGCAATTAATTATAGTACTCTATACTTATTCGTATTACATTTTAGTTATGAAAAATGCACTTTATATAAAAAATTCTTAACCTATTATCACTTTGTTCTGTCAACGTCTGTTTATTTTTTTTATAATCTATACTGTCATGTCTTTTTACAATCTAAAAATATACTTTCTGATTCAATGTACTTATCATTCTCCGCAGTAAATAAAATCATGAACATATATTTCAGTCTATTTAATTTGAAAAGTATAAAGACTATGTTTGTTATAAAAATAGAACAATATTATTATCCTACATACTTAAAAAATGACGAGTGGCTTCCTTTCTTGATCTGATAGTTAATCTATCTTTCTAGTAAACTATCAACAGAACATAAAATTTTGTATTCTCTATCACGACATTACGATTATTCTTATTCCAGCTACTAAGTATTAGTAATCCTTGAGTAACACAAATAGTTTGAATAGAAACTATTATCACAAAAGATTTATATAAGAATCTAAACTTAGAGATCAATTGAAATATACATGGTATACCTTGTTGTTTTTTACTCTGCCAACTTTCACTATAGACTTAGAAAATTATATAACACTATAATACTAGTAAATTGGAATTTTCTATTTTACTAAATATTTTAAAAACATAGAATTACCCGGAAATATTGTTAACCTATTCAATATATGATTTCTAGTGAACACAAAGTATTACCCTATATAACAATTTATTTGATGAATAGAGTTAGAGACGTGACAACTTTCCGTTCTAAAAAATACTAATTCTTTTATGAGAATTAGTTCCATGTGCAAGTCTTTCAGACAAAATAGATTTAGTCACGCATTTTCTTTATATTAACGGAGCTCAATTTTTCAGAATAAGAACTAATATTCAAATGAATCTAGTCACTTGATCATAGATATCTACATAAAAACATTGTCTGAAAGTATTTAATCATTTGGTAACGGACGTAGTATATATATATATATATCTTACATGTCAATATAAAATACAACATTCGAACAATTTACAGATGAAAGAGTTCTATCCTCAATTAATAAAAAATATGACATTGGGTCATTCATAATTCATTGTTTTCAAGTTAACTACAGCTTAGAATATTTTTGATAATTGTTTTTAATGCAATAAATATCTATTTTTACTTATACAAAAAAACAACTTAATTTTTCTAAAAACTCTCGGTACCAACAAAATGAATACCAATTCAAAAATAATTATATATATTTGTTTTAGTTGTCTGACAAAAATATTCTCAACAAAATTATTACAAAGAAATACTTTTCATCAAGTTTTAACTTACATGAACTTATTGATATAGATATAAAAGCGATGGAACCAACATAATTAATTTTTCTAACATTAAATTCTTAATTGTATTAATTGCACTATATTTCCATTAGTTAATATCCTACGTGATTAATGAAACTTTTAAGTGACATTCGAGAAATTTATTAATTATAAAAATTAAGCAATCTATAAAAATATCTTTGCTTACCTTATCTGAGATAATACTAAATAACAATATGAATGTGTTTTTACATATTAGATATATCATATATCAAAATAAATAATAATTAAATAAATAGATGTACTCATGTGAATTAGTACAAATTTATGACCTAGGTCTTCTTGTTATATCTTAATTATATAAAGGTAAGATTAAAAGAACAGCCTTATGTGTTAACATCAGGCTTCGGATGTAATTTTGATTCCATAAATGATATAAATGGCATCTATATAAATGTATTTCCTTTATTAAATAAAAAGTAAATTTAGGACTAAGTCTTATCTAAAGAAAAAATCAAATTACTGTTATCAATGTT